TCCTTGTGGCCCAACTGGCTGTACCTAGCAAGTATTGAATGCCTTATGAGTTGAATTCAAACATATCAACAAATTTACAGTGGCAATTAAAGCAGTATATACTGCTATCAAAGGCCTGCTTTCTCCCCACAAGTTCATTTGTATGTGGCAGGATCATGATGGTGCCTGGGAGACTTGGCAAGTTTCTCAGCTCTTTTTTTTAAAGATTGGCACCTGAGTTAACATCTGTTGCCAATCTTCTTTTTTTCTTTTCTTCTTCTCCCCAAAGCCCCCCAGTACATAGTTGTATATCCTAGTTGTGAGTGCCTCTGGTTGTCTGTATGGGACGCCGCCTCAACACAACCTGATGAGTGGTGCCATGTCCACGTGCAGGATCCAAACCGGTGAAAGCCTGGGCCGCTGAAGTAGAGAGCAGGAACCTAAGCACTGAGCCATGGGGCCGGCCCCTGTGCTTTTCTTAAGTCTAGCATTTGAAAAACTCCAAAAGAGAATCCGAAAATAAATCCAAGGTCTTTTTTCTCATAATCTAGAACTCTAGTCAAGTTTTGGCCAGCTTATAAATGCCAGTATTTATTTTATCCACATACCATCTGTTTCTTAACTGTTGACAAAAGTCCTAGGTTCCTGGATGTCCAGGGTTGGAGTGGTGGTACAGCTGTGCTTTGGGTAGGGGCATGTTGCTTTTTAAATGTCTAGACTGACTATTAAGTTATCTTTTTTAGGTGCTTTGGAAATCATATATTGATTTTGAAATTGAGCAGGAAGAAACTGAAAGAACACGAAATCTTTACCGACGATTGCTTCAACGGACACAACATGTCAAGGTATCCGGTGCCTTGTAGATTATCTTTGATTTTGCTTGAATCAGCAGTTCTGAAGAAGTATCGTATTTCTATATTTTAAGTGTTTTCTAAAATATATTTATTTTAAGTAACTTGCTTGTTTTTAAAGAGAACTTGTGAGTCTAGAGGACTTTGGAATATTAAGCTTATATCAGGTCAATATTTATACTGCATGTCAATAACTTGGATATCACAGGATGGAATAAAAAGTTAAACTCTTTTAAGGATTTCAGACACCTAATTGGATATAGAAACAGACTGCTTCAACGTTACTATATTAAAGCATATAGTCAATATGTTATATTCTTTGGAATACTAGAAGTGAACACATGAGTATGTTCAGATGCCATTAGCAAGAAATTAGCTTTATTATTATTACAATATTATCTTCTGGGTGACTTGGTTAATTTGGTTCTCTAATAATTTTTTTTCAAGGTGTGGATCAGTTTTGCTCAGTTTGAGTTGTCTTCAGGGAAAGAAGGAAGTTTGGCTAAATGCAGACAAATTTATGAAGAGGCTAACAAAACCATGCGAAACTGTGAAGAAAAGGAAGAGAGACTTATGCTGCTGGAATCTTGGCGAAACTTTGAAGATGAATTTGGAACAGTATCAGATAAGGAGAGAGTGGACAAACTCATGCCAGAGAAAGTCAAGAAGAGAAGAAAGGTCCAGGCTGATGATGGCGTAAGAACTGAGCCCCTGGAGCTGGTCATCTCATGTCAAATGAGCAGAAATGCATCCACCTTTGAAATTTGTCCTTTTCAGTGGCATATGTACAATCTGAGAATGGGAGTAGACAGCCTGGAGTAGGACACAGTTGCAGTCTGGCTCCTGTGGATACACAGAGCAGGGTGTATAGTCCAGCCGGGGGTGGAGAATGGGAGGGGGTTGGCAAAGGCTTCTTAGTGGTGCCTGATTCCAGGAACTGCATGAAGTTTGATGTTTCTGGAGCATTAAGCAGGAAGTCAGGATGGAAGAAAATGAAACTCAACTTTTAGGTAGGAGTCAATCCAGAGAAGGCTTTGTAGGCAATAGGAAGGCTCTTAGGCACGAAATGACGTGACCCAGTCATTGGCGTCTCCTGCAGGTGGACTTAGGGCTAGGAGGACCTGTGGGGAGGCTGTTGGAAGCGAAGCAAGTGGTGGTGGAAGCTGGAACTAGAGTGATCTTTAGGAAGTGACATCAGTGACTGACTGGAGGTAGGGATGTGAGGGCAGGGAGTCAGAATAATAATACACAGATTTATGGCTTTTGCTACTGGATAAGTATTAAATAAATCTTTAAAAATTTAAAATCTTAAACATAAGACTGCAAGATGGAGTTGGAAACACTGAGTGTCTTCTTGGTTGACTATAGGGAGCTGTGCTTAGATTTTTAGAATTTTTTCCACCAGGTTTTTAGCTGTAGTGAGCTACACTTGCAGCAACAGCAATCCACCAGCTACTTATTTAGTCCCAATCCTCAGGGCCCAGCCCTTGTTTTTTCTGTAGTAGACTTTTATGTTGTTTTGTAAAGTGAAGCTAAGTTGAATTTGAACTCTAGGTTTCTCAGTGAAAATTCTCCACTTTAAAGTAACTGTAATGTGACTATTTCAGCCTTGTGTTAAGGTATCTTTTAATTGTTTTACTTTTTTTCTGTAGTCTGATGCAGGCTGGGAAGAATACTATGATTACATCTTTCCGGAAGATGCTGCCAACCAACCCAACCTCAAGCTCCTGGCCATGGCCAAACTCTGGAAGAAACAGCAACAGGAAAAAGAGGCTGCCGAGCAAGACCCAGATAAGGACATCGACGAGAGTGGATCCTGACCTCCTTGTTCACATGGATACATGTCTTACTATTTTTATAAATTAATAGTTTGGAACTCTTTTGACTCCTGTAAGTTTTTGTATATTCCACGAAGAACGAATGGATTGGACTCTTTGATAGCTACTTTTTGAATTATTTTTAAAATGCACTTGGGTTAGTTAAGGATGGGGGCTTGGAAGTAAAGGAATTTTTTTAACTGCTGGATTTCTTTATCTGAGTCCAAACATTTTTTTGTCCACCTCATGCATTGGGAAATCTAATTAAGGTAATGCTTAGCATCTATTTTAGATGGAACTGCAGACTTTTGGAAGAATTTTTTTCCAGAAGTTTTGAAGTTACATTCTACAGTAACTTTTAAGGGGTAGTTTTCTCATGCCTGTCTTCTTCATAAAAATTTTATGCATCTATCTGAAACCCGTAACTTTTTCATGTCTTCAGTGATTTGAGTTCCATTCCAGCTCCACCACATAGTGATATCGAACTTAACCTTTATTTTCAGTTTCTTCACTCATTAAATGAGCTAATACTTTGCCAACTCATTTTGAAGATTAAATTAGAAAAGGAATGTACCTGGTGCATAGTAAGTGCTCAATAAAACGTTCATTCTCAGCCACTTTCTTAAATATGTTCATTCCTTATAGAATTGAATATGCTTACTTTACTTATAAATAACCTTGCCTTCTTACTAGTGGCCATTTGTATTGTTTTTCAATACATTAGTTATAAAATAATTTAGTTACTGTATTTCTGAACAAGGTCTTTTTACCAAGAACATTTTAGCCAAATTTCAGTTATGCTAGTCAGTTTCCCCAACTGTTTGAGCTCTGTAGTGGCTTGTTTAAAGAACAGTAATGTGTGAAGAACGATGTCCTGTGCTCAAATAAGTTTGGGAAACTCTAGATTAAGGGTTAATTAAGCCTTGTCAATCAATCAAATCTCTATAGGCTTCTCAGAGCCTTTGATATGCTACTGTAATATTGTGAATTCCTAGTAACGACGCTGGCATGTTTCCCAAACTTACTGGACGAGGGAATCATTTCTACCTAGAGTACTGGTATCTCCCAGTGTGGTACAGTAGAAAATGACTGCGTCTAACACCTGACACATTAAACTTACCCTTGGTTTAGAACGTGAAAAACCCCTAAGGTAACTATGTGCTAAATGATGAAACTTAAATAGCACAAGAACAATAACATATTTGCTGATACATTGCTCAGTCTCAAGCAAAAAATATTTTCCTTAAAGATTGTTTCCTTTAACCTGTCCTGTATTTCTCAAGCCCGTCTTTTCTTGCTTTGTTCATTGCCCAAGCCATTTGACTACAACAGTATATCATCAAGAATGTTTTTCACCTATAAGGACGATTAGCAAACTTATTATTTGCAAATTTCATTGGGCAGATTTATTACTAAATTTGCAAATGTATTGCTCACCCAAGGGAGTAACATGTTGCTAAATTGCATCTTGAAAACACCAGTGTTCGAGGACAGGATAAAATAGGAGTAATAGGATAAATGCCACCCTGTTCTCAGCCTCACTGCATTGGTGTCAGCTGCTGGGGTGTCGGGTTCTGACTGCTGCGTGCTGAGGTCTGTCTAGTCAATGAGGAGGAACATTTGTGATTTTAATATCCTTTGATTAAGCATGCAGAATTGAGGGGTGAGTTGAAAACAGGTCAAAATGCTGATTACAGGTGACTAATCAGAGTCTTCCTAGAATTCTGTTTATGTTGCATGTATGCATTAGAAAAAAATTAGTGATCATGTTCCCAAGGTAAACTAGTGAGACTTTCTGGCAAGTGCCAATGTGAAATGTATGAAATTCTCTCACGGGAGAGCATAAAGGATTCATTTCTCTCTCACTCTCAACTCCACCCAAGTAAGTCCTTTCCAAAGTAAAAACTTCGTAATAATCATTCCCATAGGTTTTTCTTTAGCTACTTCTTTTACTCACTGAATGTTTTCAGGTGTTACAAAAATGATGAAAACTACATCATACGTGGTTGGTCTATGATCTAGGAATTAGGAATTCTTTCGGAATTAGGTTCTTTTTTCCCTTTAAATAAACCTCAGCATCTTTTTATATTTTGAAAGGCAAGATTTAAGGAAAGTCATGTGTGTGGAACAAGACAAGGACAAGATGTGGGACTAAGTATGAAAACAGTCACTGGAAGAATGTACTATGCGATAGGAAGGAGGCTTCAGCATGCTGGGCAGGGATTAGTTCAGGTACGCATTTAAAAAATGCTTTACGTACACACGACACGTTGAAGAGAAACAACATACCCTAAACGAGGCTTTCTCAATCCTGATCTAGTTTTGTAAATGACCAACAAACTTCCAGAAAACATTCAGAGAGTCAACGGTGCATTTTATTATACATCTTAGATTATACATTTCATATATGCTTTTAAAGCTTCAATTAACAGTTCAATACAAAATAAAAAACGTGTACGCAGCAGTGGTTCTCAGGCACAAAATTCAGGAGGAGACTGGAGCCAGGTTCTTCCCTAGCATATAGTGAGGATTATGAACCATGATATGGAATGTTTCCTGCTGACCTAGCTGCCGTTTTGATTGAACTTTTTTACACTGAACAGCTTTAGTAGGTATGATATTGCTAACTGGAAACAATGAGATTTAAAATACATTTATAACCTGCATTTTCTTGAAGTCTTTAAGACCTAAATGATTACTTTTCTCCTAATAGAGCTCCAAGATCATCCAATGAAAATAATATTGTCCATAAAATATCTGGAGCATCGGCCTAAGAACCACTGCCCATGCTTATTCAATGTCTTCGGGCCTCACAGGATGAGGTAATGGTATGATGGATTTCTTCTCAGTGTCCCTGGAAAGGGCTTTCCTCATGTCTGTTAGGAAACAAAGTTTAATGTAAGTACCCAAATAGCAAAACATTTTATATCAAATTTAAAGTGTATATGTAAAGTTCCCATAAGAGGTTCTGTCCCCCACCCTCACTTTAACCAGATTCTAAGAAAAATGTCTTTAGTGAGACCCCTAATCACAAGTACACCAGATGCTAACCAAACCCCAGCTGGGATTCAGCTCTTCATACAGTTCCTTTTGACAGAATCTTAGTAAAATAACAATTGACAGTAATCAACCACTGATTAATTAGTATAAGTTAACTAGTGGTAGATTCATAAAGGCAGGTTATAGGAGAGTTAAACATTATAGCTCAAATTAAATCCAAAAAATATGACTCTTAAATTTATTAAAATAATGGAAAATTCCAGTCTGGAGAATGAATGTCAATGTTTCAGCGTCCTCTTGGGGATCTGCCGCAGAAGGGGGCTCACCATAAGCATCCTCGTCAGGCTCCCCGTTGCTGGCTGAATAGTACTCTATGACCGTCCTGTACACACTGTAGCCCAGCTGTTTGTACATGTTGACTGCCACTTGGTTAGAGACTCTTACAAAGAGATCAACAAAAAATCCACCCTTCCTGTAATTAAAAAGAAAAAAAAGGAAAATGTTAGAATGTTGGAAATCCTAGAATACAAATGATACATATTTTTAAAAACAACACTTGTTTTTACTTTGCTTTGATGACTATTCATCGAATGGTTAAAAGAGGACCTTGCAGCTGATTACATCATAATCTTTTTATTGCTGAGGAGTTACGGCTATTATTTTGCAGTACAGAAAGACAACTTTCTGTTTGCATGCTAATATTTCAAAACCTACAATACTTGTTTTCTTAAAAAATAAATAAATAAATAAATAAAAAAGCATTTGTGGGGCTGGCCCGTGGCATAGCAGTTAAGTTTTGCATGCTCCGCTTCAGCAGCCGGGGGTTCATGGGTTCAGATGCTGGGCGTGGACCTACACACTGCTCATCAAAGCATGCTGTGGCAGCGATCCACACACAAAGTAGAGGAATACTGGCACAGATGTTAGCTCAGGGCCAATCTTCCTCACCAAAACAAAGAAGAAAAAGAAAAAAAGGCAGGCATTTTTTTTTTCCCCAATTCTGCTACCTGGCTTAAAAAAATTAGTTTTTTTTAATATCATAGTAATTGATATACTCATTTCACCAAGTGGTCATGCAATATTTTCACCCATATGCACAAATTAAAGATTTTGAAGCGAGCACCAGTGTGGCTATGGCCCAGGTGTAGCTACAGGATATCTGTCACAGCCCTGAAGCCCTCAGGTCCCTCTGGTCAGTGACAGCCCCTCCCTTCCCCAGAGGTTTCCACATTTCAACTCCTGTGATCATTAGCTCCTTGCTTTTTGCTGTAGATTTACAACCTCTTATAGTTTAGCTTCTCCTGTTTATGAACGTTACATACATGGAGTCATCCTGTATACAGCCTTTAGTGACCTGCCTCTTAGTACCGTGCCAGTCAGCCTTGGTGTCGCAGGAGCTTGTTCCCTTCACTTTGTTTAGCGCTCCACTGTATGGATGTGCTACAAGCTGTCCGCAGCCCTCCACATAAACATTTCTGGTTTTTACTGCTACAAACCACGCTGCTATAAATCTTTCCGTGTTTCATGGGACAATATCTAAGGTCTACAGCTAGGAGTGTCATCACTGGCTCACAGGGGTATGCACATCTTCAACTTTATTAGCTAATGCCTGTTGCCCAACCTGCTTGTTCCACCTTATACTCCCACAGTCTTGGGACTTGGTGCATCAGACATTTTTATTTTTGAAAATCTTATAGTATAGTGGTATCTGAGGGTAATTTTAATGGCATTTCAGATTACTAACGAGGCTGAAAATATTTTTGCTGGCCATTCAGATTTCTCATTCTGTAGTCCTTATTGGTCTTTCACATGCTTTTTCTCCCCCGAGCTGTAAGTTCTCTACGTATTCTGGATATTCAACCTTGTGTAAAGGAGGCTGCAAACCTTTTTTCCAAATCTGTGGCTTGTCTTGTCATTATTCTTATGTATCTTTTGATGAAGAAAGTTACTTCACTTCAATGAAGTTGAATATATGAAGCTTTCCTTTACAGTTAGTACTTTTTATGGCTTGTTTACAAAGTTCTTTTCTACCCTGAGGTCACGGAGACACTTTCCTATATTAGAAGGTCTTCTTAGTTTTGCTTTCACAACTAGGTTTTTAATAAATCTGGAATTGATGTATATGGTAGATAGTAATGTGGGAAAAAACTTCTCCCATATGGATGTCCAACTGTGCTACCACCTTTACCAAAGTGTATCCTTTCCCCACTGATCTGCAGTTGCCTCCTCTGAGATGTGTCAAAATCCATGTATTCCTGGGTCTGCTTCTCAAATTCTGTTCCACTGGTCTAGACAACGACTCCAGCACTCACACACAGTCTTACTCGCAACAGCTTGGTATCTGGAGGGGCAAATCCACTCATTTTGTTGTTCAAGAATATCTTGTCTCTCTTGATTCCCCTGTAAGTTTCAGAATCAACTCAAGTCCCACCAAAAATACTTGAGATTTTTACTGCAATTACATTGGTTCTTTGGATCAATTACTGGTTTACTACATCAAGTCCTATATGCCACAGAGGTAGTTTTTCTCTCCACTTAGGTCATCTTTAACGTCTCTCAATAAAATTTTATAAACTTCAGAGGTCTTGCACAGCTTTCGTTAGATTTTTCGTAAGGCCTTAATGTATTCAGATTCCAATGCAAACAGCATTGTTTTCTAAATTTTACTCTTTGTATAGAAGTGCAGTTGAATTTTATACTGACTTTATATCCAACAACTTTAGCTTTTATCAAGTCTAAACATTTATTTTTAGATTCTTATGGGTTTTCTATTTGTGTACAACCTTAACTGTGCAAAATAGTAGTGTTGTTTCTTCTCAAACCTTGTATCTTTTATTTTTCTTGCTTTACTGTGCTATCTAGGATTTCCAGTAGAGGGGCTGAAGTAGGCATCCTTGTCTTGTCCCAGATTTCAAAGGGAAGGTATTCAATGTATCCCTGCAAATATTTACTGCAGGTTTTTGTAGATATTTTTTCAGGTTAAGGAAGCTCTCCCCCTCCTACTTCCTAGTTTGCTAACAGTTTTTATCATGAATGAATACTGGATCTTATCGAAGCATTTTCTGCATTTACTGAGGTAATAGTTTTCTCTTTTAAAGTCTATTAATGTGGTAGAATACATTTACAGATTTTCTAATGTTAAAACAACCTTGCCCTGATATATCATGCTTTTTATGAATTGCTGAATCTATTTTGCTAAGATTTTTCTGGGATTTTTGCATCTACAATGAGAGATTTTCCTTTCTCATATTTCTTGTCAGATTTAGTTATCAAGGTTATCCTAGCCTTAAAAAACAGGATGAATGTTCCCTCTTTGTTTGTGTGAAAGTGAGCTTATAGTCATTATTTCTTAAATAGTTGGTAAAATTGCCAGAGAAGCCACAGCTTTTCCTGTGGAAAGATTTTTGGCTACTGACTGAAATTCTTTAAGGCAAGGGTCAACTTGCAACCTATTTTTTTTACTGCTCTCAAGCTAAGAATGGTTTTTCACAATTTTAAAGGGTTTTTAAAATAAAAAGAATATGCAATAGAGACTTTAGGGAGCCCACAAAGCCTAAATATTTACTATCTGGCCCAGAAAGTTTGTTGACCTCTGTTCTATACCCTTAATCAATTTTTGTTTTATCAATTAGAAAGGAACATGTTCAAACCTCCCATTATGATGCTGATTTGTCTATTTCTTCTTGTAGTTCTTTCACTTGCTGCATTTTTACTTTGAACCTACATCACTGGGTACATAAAATTTTTAATTATTACATCTTCCTGATGAATTAAATCTTATCAATATACAAATGTTTAATTATTACATCTTCCTGATGAATTAAATCTGATCAATATGCAATCAATATGCAATATGCAATCACTGCATATTGTTTTACTGTATTACTGATTACTGTAATTTACTCTGGTAATTATTGAACTATAATGTGACTACTGTTAAGTATACCAACTTTTGGTTAGAACTAACTTTTGGTTAGAATTTACATAACTTAAAAAATTTTTTTACTTTCAATCTTTCTGTACTTTAATATTTTCACTTATTTCCTATAAAGAGCATACAGTTCTGACAGTCTTTGCCCCTTTTTTTCAATTTTATTTTACTGTCATAAGAACTCTTAACATGAGATCTTAATAAACTTTAAGTGTATATTATTGTTGACTGTAGGTACAATGTTGTACAGCAGACCCTAGAGCTTATTCATCTTGCTTAACTGAAACTTTATGCCTGCTGATTAGTAACTCCCCATCTTCCCCTCTCCCCAGCACCTGGCCACCACCATTCCACTCTCTGAGTCTATGAATTTAACTATTTTAGATCTCTCATATAAGTGGAATCATGCAGTATTTGTCTTTCTGTGATGGACTTATTTCACTTAGCATAATGTCCTCAAGTCTTTGTCTTTTAACTAGTGTCATTACTCCATTAACATTTATTGTTGTAATTACTGATAATATTTGGATTCATAACTACCATCTTATTTCATGCTTATTTGTTTTGCCACTTTAGTTTCCTTTCTCTCTCTTCTCTTCTTTTAATGGATTTTTATCATTTCATTTTTTCCTCTACTTCTTTGTTTGAAAATTATATACTGTTTCTGTTTTTAATGTATACATTTAAAAATACATGTATATATGTATGTATGTATATAGGTATACACACACACCCATACAAATAAAGATCACTTAAATCTTAGCAACTAGTCTAAAGTAATGAAGAAACTGGAAGGGAAGGGAGCTTAGTGGTTTTCTACTCCAAGAGATAGAAAATCTATCTTATAAATATGTTAAATCATATATGCAAGATCGTAGCTAATTAGAACTCATTTCCTAACTCCCCAACCACTATATAATAATGCCCAATACTTTTTTTCAACAAGATACGCCTTCACAAATATGTATAAACTATATATAATCTTGCTTTAAAAATTTCTCCCCTTCCTTACTTAGTCTAAGGAGAATTTTTTAAATTCTTAAAGACTAGAGTTGACTTCTTTTTCAGCTAACACTATTTCCTCCTTTTTCTGAATGAACTCAAGTTCCTCTTGCCCCTACCTTGTCTCAGATCATTTTCAGGCCATGGTTACTTGTTTAAAACTTATTTTTATTAAATCCACTAATGAAGTGGAAAGCCTCAAGAGCCCTTCCCAGCTGCTATTCCCTTTCCTACTTACTTCTAGACATTTAGAGAAAAAACTGGCAGCTTGACAACTGGTTAAACTTATACACACATCTCTTATCTCTTCTAAAATGGGAGCTGGCAGGAGGAGTCTTCTCTCTTAACTACTATATTACCTTTATCTCACATAATGATATATACAACTCGTCTTTTTTTAAAAATGCCATAATTTTGGCAGCTCCCAAACTATGCACCAAGGTGCCCCAAACTCAGAGGTGCTGTAGGATATTTCAAATGTCTGGGGAAAACACTGACAAACTTTACATTTCAGACACTGGCAAATTACTAGTTTGATGTAATGCAACAAATGCAACATTACATCATGCTACATTCCTTCTGATGACATAATATCTTTATGAAGCCAGGTTTTTGACAGTTTAGGTAATTTAAAAAACCCAGTACCACACAAAAATCAGTGTGAAACAGGAATGCAGGTAGTTGCTTCGAATATGTTTCCAAGGTTTGAGAAGCCATGCAATGCCCAACAGTGCACACATCTCATTAACAGGTAACCAGTTATTTAACAATGAAATAAAAATATTTTTTCTTTCAATTTGTTTATTTTTTTTCCAAATAGCTACTAGGTTGTTAGGCCATAAATATTTATCAAGCAGTTAGGACATAACTGCTAAAGATTAAACTGTTTTCTTTTGGCCTAGGGGCAACGTGAAAAAATTACTGAGATGCCAAGAGCAATGTCTACAGAGAATTTGGGGACATCTATAGTGGCAAGAACACTAAAGAAACCTTAAGGTCTTTGATTCCACCAATAACCCAGCTTACAAGCCTATGGCAGGTCACTCACTTTGAACCTCAGTTTTCCTCAGTGGTAAAATAGGGACAATAATACCACTCTGAATATGTGACAATTGTTGTGAGGACTACTAGAGGCTGAAAATGAAATTCCTGTAAACTGTAAAGCATGATAGACATTCAGACTGAAGGAAAGAAAATCTTATAAATTTTCACCAAAAGAAAAATCAAATGGTCAGGGCTCATAAATTATTTGAAAAGCATGAATCTCACCTTTCTGAAATCTCCTCTAACAACTCCATAAGTTTAGCAGCCAAACCAAGGCGTCGAAATTCTGGGGCAACAGACAGAGCTGTGACATGCCCGTGCCATTCTTCCCTAGCCACTGAGCCTTCTGCTTTACCCATAACTGCCAACAAAAGATTGCATTCAGTAATTAAACACATGGATTTACACATAAATGTAGACTTAGTTTGATACGTTTTTATTACAAAAAAACTAATAAAGTTTTAATTTTTAAGTACTACTTAAAGCCATCCAGCTAATGGTTATTAGTGCTTTTATTTGAATTTCACTTGTAAATGTTAAGCTAAATCTGTTGTATAATCAGAATTAGAAAGTTTTTAAAAAAGGAATGATATACTGAAACTAATTTTGAACACAGAACCAGAATATGTATTTTCAAAATATTTACATTTCATGGGGGTATGTGTTTATGTACACATAAATACACAATCTACAGCTCAAATTTTTGTTAGTAATGCTAATAATTCAATGAAGATGCTACAATCCTTGCATTATGGACCAAATAAATCATGCAGAAATTTAATGTAAATACAGAATGAAAGATCAAAGAAGACTGAGACTATGTCTATCTGGTTCACTGCTGTATCCCCTGGGCCTAGCACAATGCCTAAACCACAGAAGGCATCAGTGAGTTGTCAAATGGTCGAAAAGGAAATAAAATTGTAGGCATCATCATTATACTTCCAATTCTGTAATGTCTAAAACAATCAGGTGAAACCTATATTAAAATCTTAATTACGTATCCAAAATAGTACTAGCAGTATCATACTTACTATAACCCATTAACTCTCCGCCAGGTGCCTCTGCAACGATGAAATACTCTGGCCAGTGGGCGAGGTACTGTAAATAAAAAGGAATCCCATACTAGAGTCTTGTTAAGGTGTGTGAAAAGTAATGGACAGTAAAAAGTTCTTCATAAAAGGGATCTTTTGATGAAAGTTTCCTTTAAAAACTCTATTTTTACTTTATCCCCAGCTCTCTCTATCTGTGATTTCTATATCCTGTCATTATATAAAATACTTAGGTCAGCACTAATTTTTAACAAAATTGCCTGCACATACAACCTCAAACATGAATGGAGACGGCACCATCTAACACATGGTGGAGAACCAGGACTCAGATTTCTCGTATAGTCTGTTTCCCTCCTGATCACATTGACTCTCGATCTGGGCACAGCACGGCCATCACCTGAAAGTCTCAATGTTCACTGTGTCCCCTCAGAATATGAACATCATGTGCGTTCCATCCCTGGTGCCTGGCACACAGTAGATGCTCAAGACTTTCATTTTCCCATAAGTGTACTGGAAAATTAATGTCTAGTTCCTACTATAGCTTCAGCTATGAGACTTTGAAAATAACTTTAAAACTTAAGTAGCTCCAGAGGCAACTTAATTACCCAGTTTTTCCCCTCCACTGATTCAAATTCTCCATTTCTAGTAAAGCAAATAAAGGCTGACTTAAGAGTGAATGCCTGAATCATTTGCTCATTACTTAACTCTTCAACCCTGGGTGTCCTTACTGACATGAACTCATTCCTGTATTTCTTCTTAGTACATGTAAGCCTGATGACGCAATTCTATGAGGGGACACTATCAATCATATACAAAAAAAAAAATTCCTGGGGGCCGGCCCTGTAGCATAGTTCGGCACACTGCACTTCACCAGCCAGAGTTTGTGGGTTCAGATCCCAGGCACAGACCTCCACCACTCGTCAGCCATGCTGTGGCAGTAACCCACATATAAAGTGGAGGAAGACTGGCACAGATGTTAGCTCAGGGCTAATCTTCCTCAGCAAAAAACCCCATAAAATTCCTGTAAAACCTGTTCAGCTGTAAATTCTTTAAATTCTCCTCTGAAGGACAGCCATTTTTTGATTACTCTTCAAACATAACCCTTAACGTGGCAGGACAGCCAGTCTTCCTGCCATCCAGCCACTGACAATGTAACTGTGTCTCCTCTGGCTAATGGAGGAGCCCCAGACACCAGTTCACTGATCAATAAGACCTGGCAGGTTACTTTCAAATATAGCCTGACCTGGATTTTGGGACTTTTACCATAAATTTTAAGTGTAACTGGAAGCATACCATATAAACTGATTTGCATCCTAATATTTTCCCTGATTATACAGTGAAAATTTTTCTGTGTCATTCAAAATTCTTTTACTTTTAACATCAAGAGGCCTTTAATCAGTCATGATTTTTAAAATACAAATGAAAACTTCAGAGATTTTTTGCTTTTTTCCACTCAACTTTGTTTCTGATATATAGCCCTGTTTCCTGTACCTATAGTTAATTTTTACTGCTGTATACTATTCCATTGTGTAAATAGACAATTTAAATGTCCTGTCTCCTGACAATGGACATTTGGGTTATTTCCAGTTTCTAAAAAAACTTTTTAAAATCCTTGATGAATACAGCATAATTTATTAAACCATTTCCATATTATGTGTGAATGTTATTCCAAATTTTTTTATATTATAATTTTGCAATAAACATTCTTGTAATGACATAACTCAGGGGTTAACAGACATTTTCTGTAAAGGGCCAGATAGCAAATATTCTAGGCTTTGCGATGTTCTCTGTTGCAACTACTTAAACTGTGAAAGCCACGGACAAAGCCAAAGACAATATGAAAATTATTCAGCATGGCCATGTCCCAGTAACACTTTATTTACACAAAGGGGCAGTGGATCCAAGTTTGCCAACCCCTGACATAATTTCCTCTAGACATAATTGCCACTATGTATTATTTTCAGCTTCTAGGAAATGGAATTACTAAGCATTGTATTAACAAACTACCTTCCAGAAGGAATACAGCAGTTGATACTGTCACTAGCAATTCACGAAATGCTTCTCTCACCTCACCCTCATAAGCACTGAGTTTTATCATGTTTTTTTAACCCTTTATAATTTGATATTGTAAAACATGGCATCTCATTTTGGTTTTAATTCACAAGTCTTTTGATTAGTGAGACAACTCTTATGTTCATTAGCTTCCTATATGCCCTCTTTTATTAAATTATCAGTTAATATTACCCTCCTATTCACCTGCAATGGACATGGAACATAACCCAGAAATCCAACTTTGTGTTTTAAGCCACTGAGAACGTGGGGGTTGCCTGTTAGCGCAAATAACCCAAAACACCCTAACTTCACACATCTCTGCCTATTGGGGGCATGATATTGTTAATTGTTACCCAAAATCCTTTCTTCCCTTTAGTAACAGGCCCCAGTTTAAAGCTAGGCACACTCCCAGACTCCGTTATAGCTAGGTAAGTGTGGCACAGGACAGGTGCTGGTCAGTGAGATACAGAAGGGCTGCATGGTACTTCCCAAAGGTACCCTGAAAGGGAAGGACACTCTCACCTTCCCCTCTGTTGATCCTCCTGCCGGGAACATGGACGTGATGCCATTTGCTCTGACAGCCATCTAGGACAGGAAGGCCAAGGCCACCCAGGGAATGGTAGAGTGGTTCAAGTGCAGAGCCTGGTCGCTGGTGACTTCATGGAACCACCACCTGCCCTGGACTCATCATCATCTCCAAACTTCGTTCACATCAGACAGAAACAACCGATTTTGCTGAAGTCACTGCTTTTTGTTGTATGCAGCTATACTCACTACAGAGGGGCAAAGATGGCAGGGGAGGGGTATTGTGATAGCTTTATATGAGACCATTATATTAGCAGCTTCTCAGGCAGTTTTAAGACAATTTTTGTTCCCATTTTTTTTTTAATTGCTTTCAATGTTGCTAATGATGTTTCCTGACCTACAAGTTTTAAAGTTTTTCAGCACTTGTCTTTTTCCTTTGGTTTGTCCATTTGCCTTACTCTTAGTAAGACTTCATTTAACTTTTTTTTTAAATTTTATTTTTCTTTTTTCTCCCCAAAGCCCCCGGGGAACATAGTTGTGTAAATACAGTTGTGGGTCCTTCTAGTTGTGGCATGTGGGACGCCACCTCAGCATGGCTTGATGAGCAGTGCCATGTCCACGCCTAGGATCCAAACCGGCAAAACCCTGGGCCGCTGAAGTGGAGCGTGCAAACTTAACCACTTGGCCATGGGGCTGGCCCCCTCATTTAACTTTTTTAAAAAAGGATACAGTTTCTGTAAGTGGATCCAAGTTACTGAAAGAAACAAGAGAAATAGCCAACAGTAAGCAGTGTTTACAAAACCAGTTAAATAAGCCCATTAAAACTAGTATGCATAAGGAAAAAATGTGCTACATCCACAACTTTAAAACCAACTTTAGGGCTAAGGAAGATGATTTAAACTACCTAACGGCCATACTGAGCTGTCACACCCACTATAAAGATATGTATACATTTTCATTTGACTGCTGCTGTTTTACAAATTACTTTATAGTTAGCAAATCTTACGGAACAAAATCTTCCATTCTCTAAATGGCAATAAATTGTTAATGGAGCTGGGGACCAACTAGGCATATAAATCACACAGACAGAGGTAAAACTAGCCCACTGCAGCATCTGACAAGGGTCCTCCCTGCCTGTCTCTAGGCCTTCCCTAACAATTCCTCCTTTCTCCTTCATTCCACCGTCTATATGGGGACTCTCTCACCACACAGTTTCTGCTCCCCACTCTTCTTCTACATTCCCACCTCCCTTTCCCCACTATCCCCAATATATACTTTCAATTCTGCAATCTCAGAAGAAGCCTACCAGATGTGGCTCTGGTGCTGCTGAGCGCCTGCCTCACCAGTGTCTGATCACAACACTCCTGAGTCAGCATTTATTTCTTAAAATGCACCTCTGCGTCCATCTACAAAGAAAGAGCTCTGCCCCTCACTTTCCTATTCAATTAATGGAACCACTATTTTGACAGGCTTAAAACCAGCTACAGTAGTCTCCCCTTATCTGCAGGGGATATGTTCCAAGATCCCCAGTGGATGCCTGAAACCACAGATAGCACCGAACCCTATATATACTATGTTTTTTCCTATACGTACATACCTATGATAAAATTTAATTTACAAATTAGGCACAGTAAGAGATTAACAACAACTTCTCTTTGGCATATCTGAATTGCCAGCCTCACTACCCTTGCACTTTGGAGACATTATTAAGTAAAATGAGGGTTACTTGAACACAAGCACTGCAACACCATGACAGTCAATCTGTTAACTAAGACAGCTACTAAATGACTAACGGGCGGGTGGTGTATACAGCCTGGATATGCTGGACAAAGGGATGATTCACATGCGGGCCATGACGGAGCAGGACGGCATAAGATTCCATCATGCTACTCAGAATGGCACACAATTTCAAACTTATGAATTGTTTATTTCTGGAATTTTCCATTTAATATTTCCAGACCTCAGCTTACCCTGGCTAACTGAAATGGCAGAAAGCAAAACTGTAACTAAGGGGGGACTACTACATCTTCAACTCTTCCTCTTGCATATCCAGTCAGATGCTTCTTTGGGACCCTTAACAATGCCTGACAGTCATATTACATTTCTCCAATCCAGCATTTCTCAAACTTTTTGGTTTCAGAACCCCTTTACACTCAAAAATTATTGCGCACCCCAAAGAACTGCTATTTGTATGGATTATTTCTACTGATATCTAAAATTTTAAAACATTCATTCATTTAAAAATAAATAGATTACATGTCAATAACTTTAATTGATATATAATTGACATATAACATTCTATTAGTTTCAGGTATACAACAGGATTTGACATGTGTATATACTGCAAAATGATCACCACTATAAGTCTAGTTCACATCCTTCACCACAGAGTTAGAAAATGTTTTTTCTTGCGGTAAGAAATATTAACATCTACTCTCTTAGCAACTTTCAAATATGTAATACAACATTATTAACTACACTCACACATTGCTTAATGATGAAGAAATTCATCGTTGGACAACTTCATCATTGTGCTAACATAATAGAGTATACTTACACAAACCCAGATGGTATAGCCTACTGCATACCTGGACTATATGTTATAGCCTATTGCTCTTAGGCTGCAAACCTGTATAGCATGTTACTGAACAGAATACTGTAGGCAACTGTAACACAAGGGTAAGTATTTGTGTTATCTAAATATATAAAATGTAAAAATATGGTATAAAAAGATAAAAAATGGTACACTTGTAAAGGGCACTGACCATGAATGGAGCTTGCAGGACTGGAAGTTGCACTGGGTGAGTCGGCGAGTGAATGTGAAGGCCTAGGACGTTACTGTACACTGCTGCAGACTTGACAAACACTGTACACTTAGGATACACTAAATTTATAAAAAATATGTTTCTTCAACAATAAATTAACCTTAGTTTACTGTAACTTTTTACTTTATAAACATTTTAATTTTTTTAAACTGACTCTTTTGTAATAACACTTAGCTTAAAACACACATTGTACAGCTGTACAAAAATATTTTTCTTCTTTATATCCTTTTTTCTATAAGCTTTTTTCTTTTTATTTTTTACTTTACACTTTTTTATTAAAAATTAAGACCCAAATACACACATTAGCCTAGGCCTACATAGGGTCAGGATCATCAATATCACTGTCTTCCATCTCCACATCTTGTCCCACTGGAAGGTTTTCAGGGGCAAGAACACACGTTGAGCTGATCTCCTATGATAACAATGCCACCTTCTGGAATTTCACCTGAAGGACCTGCCTGAGGCTCTTCTTGAAGTGTCACTTTTTTCAGAAGTATGTCCACGGTGGTTTGCTTGGTTTCTTTTTTTCATGACAGATTTGCCTGTAAGCAGATAATGCACCATGAACATTCCTCTCTATTAATGAAAATCTTTCAGTGTTGGGGTCCATATTTTCAAACTTTTTAAGGAGTTTGCTGAGGTCTGCAAAAGCTTCTGTGAAACCCTTCACTGTGAATTTTCTTGGGGGTTCTTCTTTCTCTCCTGCAGTTTCCTTTTCTCTTGCCTCTTCTTCAGCTATGCGTTCCTGTTCCAGTTCTGACAACTTATTAGTCGATTCCTCAGGAACCACCTCTAGGAGCTCCTCAGTGTCATCCTCAGCCACATCCAGGTTAACTCTGTTTGTCATGTCAACCACAGCCTCGTTGATTTTTGCAAGCTCCTCATCCTTGGCAAATCTTCGAAGTCATGGACGAACCTCTTGAGTGTCTTCTTCCAGATGCCACTCGTACACTCCTTGGTGACATTACCCCAAGCCCAAGCAAGGTTCTTGATGCAGTCAGAGATGTTGTAATCCTTCCAGAATTGCATCCGTGTCTTCTCAGTGTCTTCCTCAGTTGCAGCAATAGCCTAAGGAAAGGTCCTCAGGGAGTAGGCCTTAAAAGCTCCTTGATGCACTGGTTGGATCAAAGAGGTGGTGTTCGGAGGGAGAAACAACCCTTTGATATTGGGATGAAGACCATCAATAAAAGGAGGATGTCCAGGAGCATTATTACCAATAAGCAAAATCTTGAAAGGTACGTTATTCTCCAAAAAGTACTTCTCCATTTTGTTGGCATAGCAATTCAGGAGGGCATCTTGAAAGAGGAGCTGGGTCATCCATAACATCTTATTGCTCCTGTAGTACACTGGCTGTGTGTGCTTACTGATATTCTTGAAGGCCCTGGGGTTCTCACTGTGTCAGATCACAAAGGATTTCAAAGGATCTGTAGCCTGCAACATTGCCCCAAGTAAGACTGTTATCCTGTCCTTAGAAGCCTTGAAATCTGGCATTGACTTGGCCTCCTTATGGATGAAAGTCCTTTCAGGCATCCATTTCCAGAATAGGGAGCTTTCATCCATATTGAAATTTGCTCTGGCAAGTAATTTTCCTCCACAATCAGATTATCTAGAGTTTCCAAAAATTCTTCAGCTGCCTTCACACCGGCACTAGCAGACTCACTACTCACTTTCACATTATGTAATGAATACGATTCTTCAATCATTTAAAAGACGCAGAGCTAGCAGGAAATTCAACATCGTAGTCAGATCCAGCCTTTTCTTTCAACATCACAAAGTTTTTGCTTTGGCTGTGATTGTCACAGTACCGAGAGGAACACACTTCTGTGTCTGATCTGCAATCCACATTATTAGAAGTTTCTCCATGTCTGATATAGGCCCTTCTCGAATTTTTGTTAATCTCACTGCCTTCAAGGAAGCACATCCCAAAAGCTTCTGCCACTCTGTTCTTGTCCTTCAAGATCACAGCTATGGTGGAGTGGGACATCCCTGACTGGTGAGGAACAGCCATCACTGATTTCCCACCTTCATCATCCTTAATCACTTTTAATTTCATTTCTAGTCAATTACTTGATGGTCCTCATAGTGGCAACATTAGCAGTGGATTCTGTATGCTTTGGGGCCATGACGAACAAAACAATGAGATTAAATCAAGCACAAGAGAAAATGATGCAATCAAGAGATGCAGCAAACACAAGATGTATGAGGCTGCTACTGGCATTAAGAGAGGATACTGATTTACAGTATGATTCAGCTGATTTACAGTAAACTAATTTTTTAAAGTAGAAAGAGTACACTCTAAAATAATGACAAAAAGGTTAGTATAGTAAATACATATACCAATATGCATATAGTCTATTATTACCATTATCAAGTATTATGGACTGTGCCTAATTGTATGTGCTATACTTTTATACAACAGGCAGCGCAATAGATCTGTTTACACAGCACCATCACAAACATGTAAGTAAAGCACTGCACTACGTTATCATGGTCACGATGTCACTAGGCAATAGGAATTTTTCAGCTCCATTATAATCTTATGCAGTCCATCATTGACCAAAGCATCATTATGCAGTGCATGATCATAGCCACCATGCTGTACATCACATCCCTGTTACTTACTAATTTTATAACTAGAAGTTTGTACCTTTTGATCACCTTCACCCATTTCGCATGAGTAACTTTTTTTTACCAAAAAAATCACCATTTTCTAAAACAAAAAAAACTTAATGACAAGAATGGCATTGTTTTAACAATTTCACAGATGTTTTTAATGTCTAGATTAATAGAAGACAGTTGGATTCTCATATCTGTGTTTGTTATGCTTGCTGTTACAGGATCACCTATCTGGAAAACTCCACCATGCCCTTGTGAGAGGAGGAGAGCAGAAAAGGCAAAAAACCATCTTAGTATTATCATGAAAATCTGACCTTGCAGAACTCCCAAAACAAACTTGAAGAGCCCCAGTCCACATCTGGAGAAGCACAGCTCTGATACAATGACTATTTTATATCCTCTCATCTCACGTCAACTCTCCAACAGGCCACCCCCCTTCTCCATCTCAGCTGCTTCCTATTTCACAAAGAAAAGACGACAGTAAGAAGAAAGCTTCACCAGGTCCCACCACAGAAACCCACCTACAAGCATCCGCACCCATACTCTATTGGCTCTTCTGTAACCAGGCCTGGAGTTCTGGTGAGCAGCTCCCAACACCTCTCACCACCCAGGACCCTGCTTCTGCAATTCTCGCTCTCCTGCGAGAAATGTACAAATATGCTGTAGACTTAGCCATCAGCAGCTCTTGACATTAGTTCCCCACTCCCTCTGCTTCTGAGACCCCACCATCAGGTTTTCCTCCCACCTCAATGGGCCCTAGGTTTCCTTTACTCTAACAGTGGATGCCCAAGGGCACCATCCTGGAGCCTCTTTTTTTCTGTCTACACTCACTTCATCACTGATGTCACCTAGCTGATGTCTCCTGGTTTTAGCACCATCTACACAGTGTTGACCCCCAAATTTCTATCTTTAGCCCAGACCTAAACTAGAGAACTCCATGCCCAGATGGTGCCTGACTTCTCCCCCTGGGTATTTCAGTACACTCGGCAGAGAAGCCCAAGTCTTGTGATGGCCTCTTGAGGATCTAGCCCTTTGACTCTGACCTCGTCTCCTCATACCATCGCTCCCTCTGCTCCAGCAACACTGGCCTCCTCCTCCTGTCTGAAAGGGATCTCTGCCTGGACGTTCCCCGACCCCAAAACCCACATGACCCACTCCCTCACCTCCCCTGGGTCTGTCTTCAGTGACACCTTCCCTGAATACCTACCTAAAGCTGAATTCCCACTCACTTCCTATTTCCCTTTCCTGTTTTCATTTTTTCTTTTGTGCTCAACACTAAGTTCTAAATGTTCTATTTTCTTGTTTTTCCCTCTAAAATGTAAATTCTATGAAGATTTTTTTTTCTGATTTGTTCACTGCTGTGTTTCCAAGAGTGGTACATAGTAGGCCTGCAGATATTTTCCCAAGGTAAATAAAATATTTGTTAAATTCACCACAATATTTCTACATCCACTGGATTTTTTTAAGGAAGATTAGCCCTGAGCTAACTACTGCCAATCCTCCTCTTTTTGCTAAGACTGGCCCTGAGCTAATGTCCATGCCCATCTTCCCCTACTTTATACGTGGGATGCCTACCACAGCATGGCTTTTGCCAAGCAGTGCCATGTCCACACCCAGGATCTGAACAGGCCAACCCTGGGCCGCCGAAGCGAAATGTGCGAACTCAACCGCTGCGCCACCGCGCTGGCCCCACCACCGCTTCTTTCAATTCCTACTGCAACACCCTAATCCTGTGATTCTCAGAGTTCCCTACTGAGGTGCCCTCATCAAAGTGAGAAATAGGAGAAAATGGGAAGAGGAGTTCCCTCACCAGCATATTCTGAAAAGGCCTTAACGAGCTAGATGACTCTCTGAAATCTAATGTTTTATTATAAATATTCATGGTTATTTTCCTTCCACTCTATTCACTTTTACATAAAATATTATGGGTCCCTTCCCAGATCTTCAGTTAAACCTGATTCTCCAAGAGGCTTTGCTGTGGCTGTCCTTGAAGCTTCAAGGCACTCTGGCAGCTCCCTGGCCCGCACCTCCCAAAGCCAAGCCTTTGTCAAGGCATCGTCTCTGGGCCACTGCCAAGACCTCCCCAATGGCTCCCCTGCCTGGTGCACCTCCTCCACCCACCTCCCGCTCCACACGGCCCGTGGTGAAGAGCTCAGGCTCCAGAGCAGTGGTTCTCAAACAGCTGAGGATTTCATTTCGTTCCCCAGGGTGAGAGACCACCCTCTAGGAGTCAGTGCTCCAGGGCCAACCCCTTGGACTGGATTCCTGGCTTCACCCACTCCCACCCCGCGGCTCTAGCACCGGGGCCATCCCACTCGAGCTCTCAGCACCCTAGTTCACTCCTATATACAATGCGAATAATGAGAGCATCCACCTCACAGAACCGCGTGGATTAAACGGGTTACCACAGTGCCAGCGCTGGGCACGGTGAGAGCCCCGTGCAGGTCGCCTCAGTCACGCCGCTTCGACTGGGAGGCCCCAGAGGGAATTCTTCCCACAGGATCAAGTCTAAACGCGTCAAAGGGGAGTAAAAGTCCAGCGTCACCACTTTCTCTGACTGCTCCGTCACAGAAAGCTACTGCTCGTCTCCGGGGGTGCGGCCGCACCTCAAGCTGTCCCCCTCCACAGCTGCGTCCTTCTCCAGAACTTCCTTCCCTGTCACTATCGGCACTTCACCCATCCTTCACCGCTCCTCCCCTCTTTGAAATGTTTCTAGTCACCTCATCTCAAGTTCTTTCCCTCCTCCTGACACTCGAATCTGAACCACCCGGTCCTTTTTTTCACATACTGCCCCGCTGTCTCTAAAAGCGGGTGTGGGAGGGAGGAAGGAAAGGGATGAAGCCAACGTAGCAAAATGTTAACTGCAGAACCGAGCTGACGCGTCTGCGGCTGTTCACGGCAAAACTATGGCCAACTTCCTAAATGTTCAGAAATTTCCGTGATAAAAGGTTCTCTTAAAAAAAGGAGGGGGATGGTACCTGCAAGTCACCCAACTTAAGTCGGGCTGAAAGAAACCACACGCGGTGGGCCTCCACCAGCACGTGCCCCCTGCCCCAACTACACAACACAGAAAAGCCGTCCGGGCTGGGCGCGCCGCGGGAGGAAGGGCCGCCCGGCGGGACGAGGCGCCGCGGGGGCCCCGAGCGCCACGCCGCTTCGCGCGCACAGCCAACCAGCACCACCCGCCCAAGCTCCCCAAAGGCCGAGCGACTAGCTCCTGACCTCGCAACGACGCCCGCGGCCCTAGCCTGGAGAGTCCACCACATAGAGGACACAGCCGAATCCCCTGGTGTCCCGGGCCCGCAGGCCGCAGACCGGCCGCCCGCCGGGGGCTCAGGCCGCTCCCCAGCTCCTCGCGCCCGGCGCGCCCTGACAGGCGGCCGCGCTGCCCCGCGCCGACGAGCACGCGGGGCTGCTGGACAAGCCTGAGCGCCTCGGCCAAGGTCAGCAGGGCCGTCCGCGCGTCCGCCCCGGCGCCGGCCTCTGACCATGAGCGCCCAGGGAGGCGCCCGTGACGGCCCGGCGGGCGTAGCTCGCGCGGGCCCGGCCTGGCTGCAGATCCGCGGCCCGAGCTCCGGCCCAGGGCGCGCCGCACTCACATGTTGTTGAAGCGGAACAGGTCATCGCACGTGAAGGCCCGGAGGGTGGTCATCGCGCCGCCGCGGCCGCCGCCGCCGCCGCCGCCGAAACCAGACCGCCGCGACCCAGTCTCCGCCCCGCCGGAAGTCAGCCGGAGCGCGGCTGCCCCGGGGCCGGGTGGGGAACTGCTTCCGGGCCACGGGTTGCTCGGCAACCACGGCAGCGACGCAGCTCCCTCTGGCGGCTTGAGTCGGGAATTGCCAGACCACTGCTGTAGGGTCGCCAGGGTCTGAAAACCCCTGTGTTGGAGTGACGGAGAAAGTAGACTGTGGGATCACCTAGGAAGGGAACGAAAAGCTGCCTGGGATTAGGAAACCACAGCAGACAGCGGGGTTCAGGACCAGGTGGATGCCCCGTGGTAAATGAGGCAGGAAGTGGAGAGGAACGGGAGGGTTCCTGGCCCAGAGCGGCCTGGCCCAGTGCTGGCGGCTGCGTAGGTGATCTCAGATTTTCTCATATCACGTTTAAAAACTTAAAAAGAATGGCCGGCTGGTGACCGAGCAGTTAAGTTAGCGCCCTTCGCTTCGGTGGCGCGGGGTTTCACCGGTTGGGATCCTGGGCGCGGACTTGGCATCAGTCGTCATGCCGCGCTGAGGCGGCCTCGCACATGCCACAACTGGAAGGACCCGCAACTAAAATATACAACTATGTACTGGGGGGATTTGGGGAGAAAAAGCAGAAAAAAAAAGAAGATTGGCAACAGTTGTTAGCCCAGGTGCCAATCTTCAAAAAAATTAAAATTAAAAAGAAAGGTGAAATTAATTTTAATAATATATTTTATTTTACTCAGTATACCCAAACTATTATCATTTAATATGTAATCAATAGAAAAAATAGTAATGTAATCTTTTACATTCTTTTTTTTTTTTTTGTAGTACTAAGCCTTTGAAATTTTGTGTGTATTTTACATTTGCAGTGTATTTCAATCCAGGAGTTATATTGTCATCAGAAATACTTGTTCTGTATTTAGATTTTATAAAATGTGTACATAAAAATGTACAGTTAATGTGGCTGGCCCTGTGGCCTAGTGGTTGAGTTTGGCCCGCTCTGCCTCTGCCGCCCTGGTTCAGTTCCCAGCAGCAGACCTACACCACTCATGGTCAGCCACGCTGTGACCGTGACCCACACACAAATAGAGGAAGATGGGCACAGATGGTAGCTCAGGGACTATGTTCCTCGCCAAAAAGAAAAAAGAAGTATGGTTAAAATGCATACCCAAATGTTTCCAATCATGCCAAGTTTTCAAATAATTGAATGGAGCATCAGTTTTCAAATTTAAACTTAAATTAGTTAAAGTTAAATAAAGTTAAAATTCCATTCGTCAGTGGCACTGGGCCACATTTCCAGCACTCAGTAGCCCCATGGGTAGAGGCTGCCATATTGGACAGCCCAGATCCACAGGCTAAGAAATGAGCATGTCTTGCCTGCTCGTGGAAGTTCGTTCTTCTCGCACCCTTTCTAAGCAACTACGGAGGAGGTTTTGGGGGACATGTTGCAGAGGTCAAACCAAAGCAAAGAACTCCTCAAGAGGAAGTATAAATGCCAAGGCCCTCTTATATCTAACTGCCCTGGGGCCCAAGTTTCTCCATAGGAATCTCCTCAGCAGCCCCCTGCCCAGACATGTGGCTCAGGCACAGAAAGAAGAGATGAAGCAGATGTTGAGGAAGTGAGTTGGCCCCATTAAAAGGATCTCCCGAGGTCCAAGAGCAGCCAGACATGGTTTCTGAAACTGCAACAATACAGGCGTGTGAGTATAAACACACATGTAAACAGCCGTTGGGACTTAGAAAACTCACGTCCACAGGCACGGCAGGTGCACCAGGAGGCAGAATGTGACATGAGTTCAGTGACTGCCTGCCAGGTGTTTGAACAGGGAGAAATTCTAGAGACAGTTTCCCATCAGCAAAACCTAATGTGCCATATTAAATGAATGTTAAAGAATAACTTTTAGAAAAAGTAAAATTATGATTCTCATACAAATATAAAACGAACATTCATTAAAGACTTTTTTTTAAAAAGTGGCACCTGAGCTAACATCTGTTGCCAGTCTTCTTTTTTTTCTTCTTCTTCCCCCCAAAACCCCCAAGTACATAGTTATATATTCTAGTTGTGAGTGCCTCTGGTTGTGCTATGTGAGACGCCGCCTCAGCATGGCCTGATGAGCGGTGCCATGTCTGCGCCCAGGATCCAAACTGGCGAAACCCTAGGCCACCAAAGCAGAGCGTGTGAACTTAACCACTCGGCCACCGGGCTGGCCCCTCGTTAAAGCTTTTAACTCTTTAATCAATGAAAGAACCAGTAAGATGCTACAGCTGGTTCAAAGGAGAATTTAAAATGAACAAGGCAATCAGGATGCTGAAATGTATTTATAAATAGGTGTAAAGCTTGTCAATATCCACAGTGCAGTAATGTATTGCATCTCCTGGACACACATGATGCATTTATGTTTCTATAGACAAGAATCATTTTGGGGCTGGCTCAGTGTCGCAGTGGTTAAGTTCGTATGTTCCTCTTTGGCAGCCCAGGCTTTGCCAGTTTGGATCCCAGGTGTAGACATGGCACCACTTGGCAAGCCATGATGTGGCAGGCCTCCCACATATAAAGTAGAGGAAGATGGGCATCGATGTTAACTCAGGGCCAGTCTTCCTCAGCTAAAAAGAGGAGGATTGGCAGCAGATGTTAGCTCAGGGCTAATCTCCATCAAAAAAAATCATTTTCATTACTATCATTTTTCTCCAGCTTCCAGATTGATAAAAATAGGTCGAAGACAATAAAAGGCAGAGTTAACTTGGAAGGGTGTACCTGACAGGACACCCAGACATCTTTTTTTCTGCTCATTTCAAAATGACCATTTTTTTCTGACATGAATTGATATATTGATTTGAATTTTGTTGGTTGTGAAGTTTAGATGGTTTTTATAATTTTTTATCCTGATTTATTAGCACCATAAATATAGGAAATTTATGACTACTTTATGTTTGTACCAATTTAAGTAACTGTATAATAAAAGCAATTTTGATTTTTCAAAACCACTGTGGACTTCACACAAAGGCAGCACTCGACGCCTGCGGGCACTGGGCGCTACGGGCCACCGGTTCGCAACTGCTGATAGAAACGATGATTCGGAATCATCGTTTCCAGTCACAGCCAGAACTCTGCAGTAGCTGCATGGTGATGGCAAAATGTGCCGGCTCATGGGGAACATGCAGGAAATTACAGAGAACATCCTGGAAACACAGGCTGCGTCTCCTCTCTCTCCCTGTTTGTCTGTTTTTAAACTGTCATCAGTTTCCATTGCTGAGCACCTCCAGTGAATTAGCATCCAGAAGGGTGTCTGGCAGGGGCTCAGGAAACAGGTGGAATGGCTGAATGAAAGGTGACCTACAAATTATGCCGAAAATCCTGTCATCCTCAGCAGTTTACAAACAGGATATTCATGTTATCAAATAAGTTATTTCACTGTGCCTCAGTTTCTGTGTCTATAAAAGATGCATAATAATAGTATCTACCCCTTTGGGTGGTTCTGAGGATTAAATGAGCCACTATTTGTAAAGCACTTAGGACAGTGCTCACCGTATAAGTGTTTGTTAAGAAAAACAAATAAAATTAAGTATTTTGCATTTGGAAGAATCGAAACTTGGAAATGTAGAGTGTGGGAGAGGCAAACCCTTGATCATGGAACCTTAACACAGTCAGTGCGGGAGCGGACGCACGTTGCTCAGGTACCTGACAAGCAGCTCATGGGAGAAGAGCAGACCCTTTGAAGCCACCTCCCTTTCTCTTACTGTCTCTCTCCACCCAGAAAAACCTACATGTCAGCACATGATTTATGTTTTGTTTTGTTTTTTTAAATACCTCTTAGGGCTATTTACATTTTTTTTAAAGTCTGTGTTGTTTTAATCAAAGTGATATATGCATATTATTTAGAAAATTGAATACTTGTAGAAATATACAAAGAAGAAAGCAATAAATCACTGAAAATTCTACCACCCAGGAATAAACCATGTTAATCCTGGAAGAAGTGCAGACATCTTTCTATGTAGTTTAAGGGGAGTGAGAAAGAGACTTTTACTTAAGAGGCTCAGATTATATAAGTCAATATTAAATAAAAAGTATGACATTAATTTTCCTTCAATTTAACGGAAGAAAAAAGAACTGAATTAAAACCAAAGAGATTGCTGAGCACAATAGGAATATGAGTACCTAAAGATTTCCTTTGAAGCTTAAGATATATATATTATATCATATATATTATATCTGATTTTTTTTTTGAGGAAGATTAACCCTGAGCTAACATCTACTGCCAATCCTCCTCTTTATTTGCTGAGGAAGACTGGCCCTGAGTTAACATCCTTGCCCATCTTCCTCTACTTTATATGGGGGATGCCTGCCACAGCATGGCTTGCCAAGCAGTGCCATGTCCACACCCGGGATCCAAACCAGGGAACCCCCGGCCGCCGAAGCAGAACGTGCGAACTTAACTGCTGCGCCACCAGGCTGGCCCCTATCATATATATTATATATGATTTTAACATCTTAATGAAAATCATTAAGAGATTGAAATAATATTTTTTACTTATAAATTTCAATTTAGGACACTATTGTCTCTTTGTAATGAAAGATGAGTTGATTATGATTTTTTTCTCCTTTACCCTATTCTCTTGATTATGTTGCTTGTATTATTGTTACTTTTCAGAACTGATATCTACATCTGTATTACAACTATGCATCTCCCAGTTGTTTGGTTTTAAGTTGATAATTGGGTGGATGTAACACTGCCATTTTTTTTATTACTATTTTCCCATTCCTTTCTTCATTTGTATTCGTTTACAGATTGGCTAGACTTCATTATAGTGTCTTTTCTTTGTTTGTCTGGGTTTGCTTTGTTTTCCAGGGGCTGGTCCTCTATTTCCAGAGCCACTATTGGATATTCATGGGTCCTATGTTCTTTCCC